AAAAATGGCCTCAAATGGGGAATAAAGATTAGGATTATGAGGACACAGTTTGAGTCATAGTTTTGACAAGGACTTCTGGTGCTGTTATTGTGCATTCCTTTCATTGTCAACTGAAAGGAAATACCCACTGAATTGAATGGGATCTACTTGTGAATAAGGGTATACAGGTCTGTAGCCTTAATAAGACTTTTCCCTTTTAGACACAAAAATCCTACAGCTTTGGCATTGTCCAGCCAGCATACCCAACTAGGGCATACCAAGAGTTGTAGGAACTTTTCTGTATCTCTTTTCTCCATCCCTCTGCTTCAGCCACAGCATAGATTTTGCTCCCCTTTTGTGGTGGGAATCAGAGGTTTCTTAGAACCTCCACTTCTCTATACCTTTATGTCATTTCTTAGTCCTTGCTAACCCCCCTCAAAAAAGAACCCTAACTCATATGAACAATATATAGAATAAGCAAAGTGTGAAGAATATATTTTTGTATTTCTTTTATGATAATTATATCTTATGCTAACTACACAGTGTAGTGTGCCATGTAAAAAGTAACCAAATTTCTTAGAGTGCAATATAATCTGTCTAGGTTCAGCCAATACACCATGGTGGGCTTTATTAAACAGCACTGCAGGGCATGGCTAGGGACAACTGCTGAGTTCAGACAAATATTTGAAATAATATTTCAAAGTATTTCTTTTTGTTTTAAGTAAACATTAAACTCTCCCTATTTATTATGATTGTAAAATCTGAACCGCCAATCTTTTTGTTCTTGTCATTTTATGATATATTTTTGTTTTACTTACTGTATACTCTATTTTAATGATGACTCCATTGCATATATATCTCATTTTTCCTACCCACACAAAGAACCTAATGAGGTTTACAAGTTTATCTTCCTCAACATTTAACCTTACAACAACAGCCCTGTGAAATAGATTAGGCTAAGAGTTTGTGACTGGCCCATACTTACCCAGTGAGTTTCATGGCTGAGTAAAAACTAGAACCTCAGTCCAACACTCCAACGATGTGTCTGGTTTTCATACTTTTTGCTCTGTAAGAAATCCAGAGAATATGTGTTGATTGGGGGCCATATAAATTTAATCAGTAAAAAGTATATAACAGAATTTGGATCTTGTATGTGTGAACTGTGCACGTGCAGAATAATGTATACATTTTTTCAGGGTAAAATAAGAAATTTGACTAAACTGAGCAAAACTCCATTGGTGTATGCCAGACAGGGAAATGGGCTGGGATATCATATCACAAGTTTATAATGATCCAGAATTGTGTACATATTAAGAGTGGCAGCTCTGAATCAGAAAATTCCTCCAGATTCTTTAATGAATTCACACTAAGTTTCAGCAGCAGACTGCTGATGGTTTGCTGCCATTAATTTTGGCAATGTAGGGACACCATGCAGACTATGGGCATTGTTTTCCACCTTGATTTATACCTTGCCCTTCAACAAGTTGGCCTCAAATTGTGTGCTGTACTTTAGAACCTAGTCTAACATAGGAGTTAGACTTATGGTTCACATGTATGTATATGCACAAATTCAGAGCTGTCCCTGGTCTACCTTGGAAGGCAGTAGGAAAGGTCCCTGGGTGCCTAGAGTCTGGATAACAGCAGTAGTTACCATGGAGCAGAAAGAGAAGAATACTTATCACAAATGTATGAAACAGACTGAAAACAGGAGTAATGGTGGAACCAAATACAGCATAAGGGAAAAATTATCAGAAACTTGGCATGGACTAATAGATGAGGCAGCTAGGCTATGGCTCTAGTGTTGGCCAGAGCCAGAGTCTTTGTACAAGCAGCAGGGTTTCTTTGTCTGTCATCCAAACTGCAGGCTCAGGCTATGATAAAGGGATTTAAATATTACTGTGAGTTGAAGATATTTATCCTGGATTGCTTCTCTAAAGGATATCAGATTAAGGAGTTCCTTACAAAGCTTGTGAACCATGAAAAGGGGGGTCAGGATTGTCCTTGTTATCTCCAAATTGGGTGTTGTCTTCAAACAGTACATGCAGGAGTAATTGTGCACAGATGAATCTCTACTGTGTCTGTACATTATGTGTACACATTCCCATAGGTAGACATAGACTGTTCAGATTATGAATTTGTTGGGTCCTGGAGATCTTAAGTATCTTGTGTGTTCACCCAACATTTCAATCAGCTGATCATTTCTTAACTGGGTCCACACTATGACTATGATCTTAAAACACTGAGGTGGATACCTTGGGACTAGGCTAGGCTGTGGGTCAGCTTTGTTTCATTACAATGCAGTTTCAAGGAGTTAATTATACAAAGGTCAAAATAAGGTTGGATCCACCCAATAGGGTTGAACTAACTCAACTAATAGGTTAAAACAAATCAGTCCAATTTTGGTAATGAAAATCACAGGTATGGGGTATCCAATTAGGATCTCTGTGGGAGATGGAAAGGGTCATCCCATCCCCATCCTAAGGGGCCTCTGCCTTTACTTAGCTCCATCTCAAAAGTAATATGTAGCTCAACCCATAGTTAAAAAATAAATAAAAGCATAGTTCTGCATATGCTACTGGAAACTGAAGGAGAATTTCTAGTTCACATACTATCCTTATATCTATTATTTCCTCCTCAGCACTTGTGTTGAAAGATAAGGTATAGTGTTAGTGGAAATTCACTGTTTGATACTTAGATGGTGCCACTGCCTCATTTGAATGTAAAACCATTACATTTTTATACTTTACTTGATGAAGGGTGCTATAACTTCTTCTTTCCTTATCTTGAAATCCTTTATTCTAGCCAGGTAAATGATAAATGACAACTCTGCACATGTATCTTGTCTTGCTGAACTTGTAAATTCCATGAGAACCCTTCTCTCAGGTTGTTTGTGGTCCTTTCTTTACTGGATTAAAGAATTGGACTCCTTCATGCAAGTTATTTGACAGGCATCACTATTCTTTTCACAGCTTTGCATGTGCTATATCTTATTTCCATGTGTTAAGCCTTCATTTTATTAAAACCTATTTAAAAGAAACAAACACTTTTGTGTGTTTTAATTTTAATTTTTGAGCCCCTTCTCTTTCTTATATCTGAAACTGATATTATCTATAGGATTCAAATTTATCATAATAGAAAACAACATCCTGTAGACATAGGCAGCACGGGCTTCCACATGCTGTCTTGTCAATTTATGTCAAATCTAACCCGGGGCATCTCCTCTTAGAAGTAAGAGTGCATTTTGGTATCGGTGCCTTTGATCTCTGTCCTCAGAGACTGCCTACCCCTGCCTAACATGTCAGCTGTGATAGTGTCTCAGATCATGTGTGAATTAGCCTGAGACATCATTGCATTTGCTACACAGGCAAGATCACCACCTCCTTCTTCTTCATCTTTTGTTCTCATATCTTACACTCTACAAACTGGGGACTTTGTGACAGAGGTTCAGGTGCTCCTGATACATCTCATTCTGCTTCTCTTCATTAGCTATAAACAAAGATATGTCAGTTTGCCAATGTGATTCTAACTGTGATGAGTATGCACTATTTTGTGCATGCATCACATGCACATCATTATTGTGATGACAGAGAGGTAACTCCTCCAGAACTTAGATGGGAAATATATTTACTTATGCAAAACCAGTGTGGCATTGCAGTTAGAGTGCTGCTCTGGCACGTAGGAGATCTGGGTTCCAGTCCCCATCCAGCTCAATGGATGACTCTGGGCCAATCATGGACTCCCTGCCTAACCTACCTGACAAGATTGTTGCTAAGCGGATAAAATGGAAGGTGGAGAACCCCATGGCACCTAAGTTAGAATATAAATGTAATGTAATAACAATAATAGTATTCCACATACTTTAAACAACTTTAAATTTGCAAATTTTCTAGGTTTAATGTGAGCCAAATGTTACCACAACTGTTTGAGAAACTTTTCATATACAGGAATATGCCTTATGGAGGACTTACTGCCCCTTCTGTGCCTGATTATGGGTACTTCTGCTGTAGTGGCATTATCCACACTGAGGAGACAGGGACCAACAGGCCTGGTGAAACTCCAAGCTTTGCAGAAGTGCAAAGCCTGGAGGGAGGGAGGAGCCGAAGGGTGGATCTCCCACAGTGCAGTCCTGACTGAGCATGTTCTGGCTCTGTGAGATGCGAACCTGGCTTTTGAGGAGCATAAAAAAAGGGAACAGGGTGCTCTGGAACCCTGCGTAGGACCACCTACATTTTCCTCCTGGCCCTGCTGGTGTCCGTGGCATTAGCAGGGAGAACCCTTGCAGGGTTGTTGGAGAACAAGCTGACTCTGAGCACATGCAGAGCGCCTTTCCATCACCTTGTCCACGGCCGGTTCCCCACACCCATTTGCGCGAGAAGAGTACCTGGCAGGCAATTGGGTGCCCCCAGGTCTGTTCTTCGCGGATGCCGTCTCCATCGGCAGCGAACTGGTTCTGACGGCACACCACGCTCAGCAACTTGCCGCCTCCCTTAGCAGGGGGCGGGCTATGCAAAGCGCGCTAAACAATACCAGCTTTGTCTCTTGGCATCCTCCCTCCCCCGACACACTCCACTTTCTGCGACTGCACACGGCGTGTGCCCGGTCGCTTTGGACAGCAAATGGGGGGGGGGCGCCGATTTGTATGACGCTGCGCGCAGCTTGAGCGGGAGGGGAGGGGAGGGGGCACGATCCGCGGCAAGGCAGCGCGTTGACGGGCGGGCGGGCGGGCGGGGGTGGGGCTGGGGGAGGGGAGCGGCAATGTGCTCGTAGTACTCCTCGTCCCGATGTCGCGCAGACACAGCAAGGACATCACAAGGAGGAGTCAGATTACAGTAAGGATGGGGAGTGCAGCATGCAGCGAGAGGCGACGCTAAGCCAGGCAGGGATCGCGTCGGGGCGAAGGCAGCTCCCCAGCCCCGATCCCGAGGAGGGTGGCTCGCTCGCTCGCTGGCTCTCCGAGACTGGGAAATTTCCACAGCATGTAGAATGAGAGAGGCTGGCTCCGCTGTGCCTGGCAGCCGGCTGCGGGAGCTCGCGCTGAGCAGCGCGCCGCGGTGGCATCCCGACTGCATGATTCATGAGAAACATCATGTATTTTGGTAAGCGCTTCTCCCCCGCGCTTCGCAGCTGCTCGCCCCGCGCGCGGCAGCGAGAGGTGGCCCGGGGGGCGGGGGGGGGCTGCGCGCCGCCGGGGGAGCCCCGCGCCCTGCCCGGCTCGCGAGAAGCCCGCGCGGGCGACCCGCGCCGCCCTGGCCGAGGAGCAGCCCATTGTCTTTCGCTCGCCCTCCGGCAGCCGCGATCGCGAGGATGGCGCTGAGGCTCGCCGGGCCCCCGGCCGGGTCCCCCCGCGGACCTGTGGGTCTCCCGCAGCCGAAGTTAGAGGCGAAGTTAACGCAGTGAGGTGCGAGACCCCACGCCGGACGGCCCCGGATCATGAAGTCTCCTCCGAACTATTTTTAGCCTTCCCGTTGAAAGCCGTGCGCCGGATTCCCGGGGAGAAGGAACGAGGCTGGCTTTGCAGGGCTCTCTCCGGATCCCCCCCACCCCGAGGTTCAAAAAGGCTTGCAGGAGTCGGAGGGGGGCAAGTGAAAACCTCGGGGCAGAGCTGCGTTTTGATGCAGACCGCGGGGTTCAGCTAAGCCGGTCGCGGCTCCCCGAGAAACGCGCTGGAGCCGGAAGCGTGTTGCGGGCTGGTCACAGAGCGCCGCGCCGCGCAGAGAGCTCGCGTGGATGGAGGCAGCAAGCCGTAACTTAGCGCCGGGCCCGGCGGATGGGGTGGGGAGAAGACCCAGTACGGCAGCAATGGCAAAGGGGATAGATCCGCTAACTTGGGAGTCTTGGCGAGAGTTTGGATGCAGCTGGTTGCTGTGCAGCGATACGCGGGGAGAAAACAGGAGCCGCTGGATCGCCTCCGCGAATTAGAGATTAAAGCAGGAGTTGAGCTGAACTTCCAGGAGAATGTCTTGGGGAGTCTGCTATGCTCACGGCTAGTCTTTTCTAGTCCCACTTACAAATAAGCCGATCCTAAGCATTATTGCTCTCATAATGGGACGGTCAGTGTGCTCGCAAGGTTGAACGCGTGTGCTGCTGATCTTCAGAAAAGTTTAATTTCTATGCAAAGGCTGCCTTGCTAAGGAGAGGGAATGTTAAATTCCTATATATCTTGAGATGAGGCAGGAGGGAACGGGGAGCAACCGTTGCGTTCAAGGCTGCTTAGTATGATACCGTCAGTTCTATGACTCAGATGGTTGTGTCCAGTTATGCGCTAGCAAAAGGCTCTTCTCGTTATGCAAGAAACATCGGGAAGTTTATCACCCAGTTCTATACATCCCTACACAGAACTAATCCCCAGCAGGTATCCACAGTCTACACTGTATTTTGTAAAGCACTCCCTTTAAAATCGGTACCATGATGTGCAGCCAGGGGACCTTTCAGAAATAGATATCTCTGTACTTGGCTTTGCAATAGTTGCGTGTTTGATCTGGCAAGGACCTGTAGTCTATGCTATGCATGCCCACAGCTGCAGCCTGGGTGCAAATCACTTGCTCTGTAATAAATAAAATGAATCGTTTGGGCTGCTTCCATTTACATGTAATAAATGGTCCAGGAGCTTAATGTTCGTCCAGCGTGGCTTTACTGTTCAGAGTGCTCCAGAGTCCTTAACTGAGCACAGTGCTCAAGCATTTACATATTCACTTGGATGACCTAATGTATTATACTTCGAGTTAATTGTTGGTGCATCATTGTTTCACTTTATAGGAAACCTGTTTCCAAAGAGTGCTCTATTAGCCTGCAGTTAGGCAAGGCTTTTTGTTTTTGTTTGTTTTTTATGCTTATTTTTATATGACCTTTTTGTTCGGGGGGGGGGGAACCAACTGTGTTCCTTTCGCATAGCAAAGCACATTCAGAACACACCAAAACCCCTAGACTCTTGATTTCCTCAAGCTGTTTAAAGTGGTCATACTGTCTGTAGGCTACAAATCTTACCTGATCCTGCTAGGAAGAGTATGAAATAGACTTTGCTCATGCATCATACATCAATCACCCTTTTATTCCAAAGAGCTATGATGTATGATAGAATTGACTGTGATTTGCAAATAGGCATATTAAAGTTAGTTTGCTTTTTAACACAGGTTTTAAAATGATGCTGCCATTCTCTTTAGAAAACTCTTTCCTCTCTAACAGAGGAATGACTCTATGTAAAATGTGGCTAACCAATCTTAAAAGTTTTACAGAAATCAGCAAAAAACTGTCCAGTAATGTTATCCTGTTACTGTAGGCCTTTCTTTTAACATGATTCTAATTAGAGTAAAGAGATAGTACAGCATAATACCTTCTGCATTTAAAGACTGGGATAGAAAAAAAGTTCTATATCTTCCAAAGATTTCTATAGATTGTGTATAGCATCTAATGGCTAAAATAAGCTTATGTGTACGGCCTCTTGCTAAAGCAATAAATTGCCATCTGTTGGGCATCTTGTTTATGTCCTTTTAAAAATCATGGATGTTTATTGGAACTGATTTTCTCACATTCAACAACTCAGTGAATGTGAATTGACTTCATATCTAAATTCATCTTTTCAAATGACTGGAGGATATCCTTTTGGCCTTCCAGTGGAATTGCAGCATTGTTATTAATTTGTATGGATTTTGTTGTGATTGTTGACCTGTTGTGCTGGCTGTGAATATCTTGGATTGGATGCAAAATAGTAAATGTAATAAGTTGGACAGGACTTGATGGCATGTAGCAAAAGCATCATGTAACGCTGCTCCCCTGTCCCCAGATAATCACAGAACACACTCAATCAGGATCTTTTGCTGTGCAGCCCATGAATCAACACAGTCTGTGCAAGAACACTGTTTTCTTGTGTGGCTCCAAACCATGTTTAGTCCAATATGCAGAAGAGCATCCTTCTGGAAAACGTGGCAAGCCAGTTTATGCTAGATCAGACTATTATTTAGCCCAGCCCAGGCTAGTATTGTCTGTCCTGACCGGCAGCAGCTCTCTCGGATCTCAGGCAAGAGACTTTCCCAGCACATGCTGCCGGATCTCTTATTTATAATGATTGTGCCATATGTTAGTCTGGTTGGAAGAAAGCCTAAAACTTGTAAATATTGGCAAGTGATATTTGTAGCATAATTTATTTTTAGAATGAAAAAGAATCCCGACCCTAAAATGTGCATCATCCTGGAATAATTACATCAGCCATTTAGCAGTGGATAAAATAATCTGCTGTGAAACATCTCCACATTAATTTTTTTTAGACAAAAGTCCATTGGTGGCCATCAATGTTTGGAGGTGCTATGACAAGCAATGGATGGGGACTTGGTCCAGTCCCATGCCAGAGATTCTAATCCAGAGACACTCTTATGGCTAACAAATCATTTGCTCCTTGTAGGCCTGCTGAGTTTGAATAGGTCCAACATGAAGTATCTACTGCGCTTGGGCTTGTCCTTGTGTCACCACTGCTAGTATAAAAGACTTGCCATTATCTCATTATGGCCCCCTCAGAAGTGCCTCTTTCCTCATTTAGCTCCACTGCAAGACCCTAATACCATTTCTGGTAAGAGACTTAGCTGGGCTGAACACAACATGCAGTTTCTCTTTTGCACCCAGGAGCTGCAACTGGAAAGGGAAGGCATTTTGAAGGGGTGTATGAGCCAGCCGTGCACTAACAGCCATGATTGTCAGTCAGAATAAATGCTTCAGTAATATTGCAATTACATGATTGTGCATGCTGTCTCAGAAAATCCTATAACCTCTGCAGCAGAATGGCGGCGGTGTATCTAAATCACTCCATTTTGTAGAAACGTTCTTCTAAGAAGGGTTGTTACAAAGGGAAAAGTCTATCTTGGTAACCCTTCCCTGTAATGGCTTTGCTGCAGTCCTGCCCTATTGAAGGAGCTTCCATTACTCTCACTGTTCACACTCGGTGTTTTACCAAGAAATATGTAGTTTCAATGTGCTTAATCTATCAGCGCCTATCTGATTTGGGGAGTATACAACCCCTCGGTAAATGGAAGCAGCAGAGAAATCTGTCACATTCTTCCATGCAGTTTGGCTTTTTCGAGGGCCAGTTCTCTCTTCCTGTGAATACAATAGTGGATATGATCTTGTCAGCCTTCATATTCTTTCATTGAGTATCACTTTTTACTTCTGACATAGTTTCATGAAAGAGAGATTCATGGCAGATGAGTCATAGGGAAAAAAATGTCACCCCCTAAATCTCAGAGGCACTTTAAAGAAAATATATATTGGAAATATGGAATAAATCATTTGCTGTTTCATGGAAAGTACTTTAGCAGTTCCAATTTGTTTAGAGGAAACTGTAGCATGTAGTGTGGAAGATTATATACAGCAGAGAGACCTTGCTCTAGTTCTGCTTATCTTCATGTACAGAAGAATGAATCAGGGCAAATCTTTAAGACACCATATTAAAAAAAATGCTTGGAGACACTATTTATACTCAGCTGTTTACTGCACGCTTTTTACAATCAATGTGGGCAATAAAATTGTGTAGTTAATACATAATGGATCTTGATTGCGACAGAACGTTTCTTCTGGCTGTAGAATCATGAAATCCAAAAAATGATGCTTTGGTGTGTTCACATCCATTGCAAAGTGTGAAGTGGATTCTGAAATAGGGAACAGATAAATACATAAATGGGGCAGGGGAAGCATTCCATGCAATCATCCGCATACAGACACATTACAAATTCCTGCTATGTCTTCTGCTTCCAAAGAGCTGTCATGTGTCTATCCAAGGAGGGTCATTTCATGCCTGGGTTTTAGACATTTTCTGCTTACAGATTTTTTGTGAGGATATGATGGATTTATTTAAAAGGTAAGTTAAATGATTTTTTCTGATAATAGGTGCTCCTAATAAGCCTCTTTGCAGGTGGCATAATCACTCAAAAATGGAAATTTGTGGCCTTTTGCCCCATGAGAGCAGATGCATTTCCATTGGCTTTTAACTGAAACACTTCTGAGAAGAGAACCATTTGGCAAGGAGGATGTATATTTGGTTCAGAGAAATTTCTTACCACTGCTGCAAATGCTACATCAGTGCCATTGCATCTTCCTACTTTCTCATCATTGT